TTTAATGAGAAAATAATTTGAAATATATTATATTGTTTTAGAACACTGCCCCTTTATGTTTTACCAGTTCTAAACCATACTGACAATTGGCAAGACTGATAAAGGAATTAATAACTGGGAACAACTGATTCTTCAGGTTTCAAAATCAAAATCAGAATGACAGTTAATTCCAAAGGAGTATCATATGACTGGGAACTAAAGAACACAGTCCCCAACTAGCTGTTTCTCATGAAATTCTGTTCAAGAACAAGGGAACATGATGAAAAGCTAAACTTGCAGCTCTGGCATAGTAGTCACACAGCTTCATACTGGCCTGCCAAACCCATTTACATTACTGCTGTACAGGAACAGTCTGAGTGAGACACAAAGCATACCCTTCAAATCACATATCTCATAGATATAATGGATGACTGAACAGCAACATTTGACAAATATAAAGAGTCAAAACTTCCATTAACATCAATATCTTTATATACATCAGATCTATATATTTTATATATGAAATTACAGTTCTTCCAACTATTAAAATGCAGTGTGCTTTGGTCATCAGTCAGCTGCTTGAAAAAAAGTTAAAATATCAGGGCTGTGAACTTCTTTAACTGGGAACCTTAAATACAACATTTGCAGATATTCTTCACAGACAACTATGGCATTATGGTTACGGACTACCAATACATATATTTGAGCCCTGTGTCCGGATGGGTATTATTTTATATTAGCCCATTTGTTTATAATAATCTTTGGTTGTTTAATTTATGACAGTAAAATAATACAACAAAATGCAACATCAATTATATTAATAATAATAATAATCATAATAATAAGATCAATAATTTACTTAACGGCAAACTTGTCAAGCACTATGTAACTTGTCAAGTTTGCTGTACCGTGTCTATGAAAAATCGATAGAAAATAGACCCTCTACAACATTACTACACACAGACAGAGCAAATTGAAAACGTTTATGCCGCTCTGAGCTCACAGTCTGCTTCCCACCCACCCCACAGATCCATCAGCGGCCTGCCAGTCACCACGCTGACAAGTAATAACATTGGTAAGTACAAATAAGAAAATTGAGATCAAAAGACATTATGAATAACACGGAAAAACTGTGTTCTTCTTTTTTTAACTTTTGTGTTCAGTCTTTATGAAAAATTCTTCTGCTTCTATCATATCAGAAGGTCATTGAGCAGCATCCCCTTAATAAAACCCCTCCCCAACACAATAGCACAACACTCCACTCTTGCAGAGTTCCAGCAATAAGACGGTTTGTTCCATCAAACATAGGACGGTCACTTTCACCTGTAGCTGAATAACATGTGAGTTTTAGCCCTAGGGCTGCATTGAACAACTGAAGAGGAGATCTGGCTTCTTACTGAATGAGGTTCCCCATATTAGGCCCTATGTTTAATCCCTGATTAATCAACTAATTTATGACTAAACACATCAATAAGCAGCCCTAGTTTCTCCCACTGAGCACCATTTCCAACATCGTAGTGCAGATCTTGAAACAAGTGCTGCATCAGAACAACTGCTGCCACGTCATGACGCCCAGCATGGAAGCCTTATCATACATTGTTGGCGTTAGGTTTACTTTGGCATCGGATTATGAAGTTTCCTAACACATTCACTGGCAGTGTCTGGTTATTAACTTTAAATGAACAAGGAACAAGCAACTATATGCCTTCTTTAGTTTTCTCACATGCATGACAACCAATATACATGTAACAGCGCGAGTTAGGCAAAGTAACCACAAGGAATGTTACAATTTATCAACAATATAGATTATATAGCACTAATGACAGGATAACTGCAAGTGATGAATTCAGAAGCATGTGAAAGGTTGTGGCTTATTGTAAGGAGCTGTCTCTGCATTTGTCTGGGGGGACTGATGAAAAACAGGAGAACCTCAGTTGTTTGGATAGCCAGTGTGCATGATAAGATTCAATGATGTCCGGCAGGGAAACCTGATGGTCTCTAATTAGTATAAAAAGTAAAAGCGTCAAGTTCCTCTGCTGGACCCTGTATTTTCTATGTACAGTGCGTCATACTACATATGCAATTTCTGTATGACTGTTATCAAATTACATCTGAAGAAATAAATTTAATTCAAAAGTTATTGATTTTCAAGCTACATACAAATACTTTCTCAACTGCATTTGTTACAGACAAGCTGGAATGCAAGATAACTGTGGATGATGAACTGAAAAGAATGTGACCCATTTCAAGGTACTGGCATAGCATTTTTCATGAGGGACTGAGAAAAACCACAGAAAACATCAGCTGATCTCCATGCTGAATTTCAAATTGAAGGCCTCTAAATGTTGGCAGAGTAGTAACAGCAAAGCTCCAAACCTTCTAATGTGCTGACTGAATAGAGATTGCTTCATATTTGGGAGGTACAAGGTCCAAATAGTCTAGAGAGAGGCTATTCTAACTTAAGCCTTCCTAGACCCTCTAGGCAAATGCTGAACTAGTATTTTAAAGTTTATCACAGCCCTTTCTTCCACATCCTCCCCAATTCATAATTCATATGCACCCTATCATTCAATAATATATACAGTAACATACACAACTGATGAAGGATCATGAAGTAAACCAAGAAACAGGGAACATGATTAGGTTTCTTGTGGGGGTGGACTGCAAAGCCTGTAGACAAGCTAAGCACTGAAAACTCTGCTTTTGAAACTGCTTTGAAACCTTCAGAAAAACAGATGCAAATCAAATGTTGGGGATGGGCAATTTACCCTTTCTGTATATGAAATGAAAACGCTCTAACTTTAAATCAGGCAATCCAAGATGCTTGTTCCCTGTGTATATTATTTGTCAGGCAAATTTACAATGCCTCAAATTACTGAGAAAGAAATGAATAATACTAACAATAATAATCAAGAGTATTCAAAACATATGAAACACCACAGCTCTTCTTACTGTGCAATTCTGATCAACCTGTTATGAAATATGGATGACATATTCAGTTAAGCCTTGTTCAGAATAAATCCAACGAAATATATGATAGCATATTTGTTTGGAAATCTGATAAATGACAACTGAATAAAACTGCGACCTAGAGTAACAGAAAATATAAATGTTTCACTAAAAATATTTACAGCCATGGAGGAGTGAACTGATATGGGAACTAGCAATAATATGTCCAGACTGCACTAAGAATAACAAGAGATTCAGTATGCTTTTGATAGCAGGCAGCTTTCAGTGTGAATGCAGCATCAGTCCTTGACATGTGTAAGAGTTTGTCTCTTTCAAATACAGGATGAGGTAGTGATACTGTGGTGAGTACAGTGAAACTACAATGAAATGAGTATGGCTTATAATGAGAACTTCATTATAGTGACAAAAACCGCTAGAACCATCAATTTCTTAAAGTTATATATATGAAAATCAATTGCACAAAATAAGGGCTTTCACTGGTACTTTATTAATGAGTGATTCCTAACTAGTCACCCCTGTTTTTCTGAAATATTTTGTTTCAACTGTACTTGCAGTTTTGAGTCCAAAGTTGTTATGGCTAGCAGTCTGTTATGGTCCAGTTAACCCAATCTCTCAGGCCTATCCTTGCATAGAGGAGAGTCTGTAGTCTAGAATTTAAAGAACAGCTTACCCATTACAAGTTTCAACCACTAAGAAATGCACATCACATGACAGCCTCTGAATTTCTTCTTCAGTGCAACAGCTTGCTTCATTGTATATTGTGTTACTCATTAGTTAAATCCTACTGTAGTATATGGAGGCACCATGCTGTATTTTCCTATCCTTGTTACAAAGTTTTTCCTTCCCATTGAACTTCCACTTGCCTGAGCTGGATGATGATGTCAAGGAATATACCTACACAGGTGTAAGTTTAATGTTCTGTCCCCATCAAACATCTACTCAATTGGAGTCAAATGCAAACGTTTGAAAAACCTTAATTATGGCAAGAATTGGAAAAGCTTTGACTTGAGTGTGAAGGCGGTATGGATTAACTTCTTTGAGACTGTTTATGATACTAACGAAGATCAAATACAGTATATACTAAACCCAAGCAAACTAAAATTGTCTCCCCCCCCCCAAAAAAAAGTATATATTGGTGAAATTCAATTCATGATCTTGGTTTTTAACTGTGTGATGAACGTAAGAAAATGAGACCTGTGCTATCAGGGTAAACTCATATGCATGGGAAGTACAGATGGTATGGTTCCTATCNAGCCGCGGCCGCGGAATTTAAATGACCACGTCAAAGGGTTAATTTGGAAAGTGGATTTTCATTAGGTGTGGCAACTTAAACACAAGGGAGAGTCAATAAATAGGTCACAAATGGAAGTAAAACAGCTCTAATAGATGTAATAGGTTTTCTATGTGTATCACTAGGCAGCAGTACAGTCCAGCTTCATGACAGTCTAGGTAGCTGTTGCATGCCCATATTCAGAGGCTGGATTTAGTAGTCTAAATGACAATCATGCTTGAGGAGCATGCAACCGAAGAGTAACATTCTGTTATGTGTTTTCTACTAGCAGAAGGACTCAGTGAAAGGACAGTCATAAAGAAGTGTTTCCTGTTTATGGTGGGAAGTGTTTGTTGTGTAAAGTGATTCACAACTGGGTTGAGAAATTCTCTCCATGGAAGTTCGAAATTCACAGGTGGTGAAAATGAGGTGTGAAAGTGGCTGAGACAACAGTCAAAGGCTATTATGTTGCTGGTTTCAATGCACTGGTAAAGCAATGAGACAAGTGTATCAATGTTGGTTTAGGATTTTTGGAGAAATAACTATGTTTTTTTAGAAGAAAGCAGTCTTCCGGGATTTGGCACCGTGTATATGTGGTGTTAACCGACGTTTCGGAGGAACGTATCACCTCCACCTTCAGGGTAGAAGGAAAAATATAAGAAATCCACAGGCGAAGAGACCATGAGAACCGGTACAAGCAGACTGGTGTTGGAAATATACACAGCTATGTGAGAGCAGTATTTTTAGGTTTGAATATCACATGTTTTACATTTTATATCCATTTGTGATCTGTTTACAAACTCTCTCTCATATGTTCACTTTATTTGGGTTAGAAAATTCAACATTTATGTGTTTATGTACAGTTTACATGGCAGTACTGTAACATGCACTTCACAGTCAGGTATGTGTATGATGACTGTTTCACAACCATCTCTTATGTATGTCATAAAGTTTGGTGTAACCCATAACACACTTTATGTAAGTAAGTACTACACCGGAACAATTTAAACTGCTTCATATCAAATTTGCTACTGAAGTCTGATGCTAGTTGACATGTTTTTTCTCATATATGTACATGCAGCCAATTATGGGAAGAATGTGGGTGGGACATGTAAGCATGCAACAAATAGTGGGCAGGACTTTTTCTCATGAAGGACGGCTCCTAATCAGTAGTCGGTCACATGTAGAAGTGCTTATGTATGTTTAAGAAAACTTTTAACTCTTTGGTTCAGACGATGTCAACAGTGAGAATACCGGATTAATCTTCATTGTGTTCATACTTCATGACAACAATTCCAAAGATGAAGAAATACTGCCGTACCCACATTATTACTTAAACCTTAGTGCCATATTATAAAACGCATAATGAGAAGTTAAGGGCCAGACTTGTAGATACATATTTCAAACTTTATCAGATATTATGAACATCCATTAGAATGAATATTTTTGCATATTTTATAAATTTTCATAATACTGAAGTTGCAATGTATTCTCAAATTAAAAAACAAAAAACAGCAGTAAAGACCTGCATCACTGCATGATTGACCTGACATTGTTGCTTCCAGTACTTGTGTGATAAGGGCAACAATGTGTGCAAGCTGATCAGAATCACACACAAAGGGACTGTGTTCCATAAGTCCAGCACTCCAGCACAAAAACCTGTGGCTTCAGAGTAAAGCAAAGTAATGAGAGGCTGGTGCACCAGACACTGCCTGTCTCATAGAAATCACTCACACTGGCCTGAGTGTAAGTCACACGAGGTGGCCTTCTGTCTCCATGGTGGCTGGGTAGCTGAGAGTGGGGTTGAATGTTGAGAGGAGAGGCGTGGGTGCTGTGGGGCCATTTTGTTGTTGTTGCTGCTGCTGCTGCTGTGTTGACAGGGCAGAGTGTGGAGGAGGATTGTGGGAGACAGTCACATCAGGCGGTGGTACCACAGGGCCTCTATGTTGTAGGCGGCGCAAGGAACCAGTACCAGGCATCACAGGTTGACCCATGTGGCTGAACTCAAGCTGTGGAGGGTATGGGATGTAGCGGGCATCAGGTGAGATGTTGTAGTATTGCCCATCCACAACAGGATGTGCTGTTGCGATGTTGCCAGCAGCAGTGTAGTGCAGCTTGGCACCTGCAATACATCATCCACTTGCTTACTGTACTGACACCAAACTTCACATTGGTTGAGGTACTATGCTACAAGCCAGAATGCCGTGGGTTCAAATCCCAATGAGCTCATTGGATTTTTTCAATTGACCTAATTCTTCAAGCCGCAATATGGCCCTGGTGTCAACTCAGCCTCTAACAGAAACGAGTACCAGGAATTAATTAAATAATTTTCCTGGGGAGTAAAGCGCGGCTGGCGTGTAAGGCTGACAACCTTATCGCCATCTTTGAGCCGATTGTCTAGATAATGTGGGACCCTCAACGTCTCACAACCCTATGGGCCTTCATGGCTTGTTACAGGGATAGCTTTATTTTACTTTACTTTATCTTTTTACTGAATGCTTCCAGACTCTGAACATATAAGTGTAGGAGTTAGGACTTTATTTCTAATCATACCATAATAACAAGTATTTGAACCTGCACTGCATGAACAAGCATGTCTCTACACTAACTCCATTAAATTTTTAGGCATTATAATAGAATCTTCATTAACATGGAAAGAACATATTGATTATATAAATTCAGAGTTAAATTCGTTAGGCTACATGGTTCCTTCCCTCAGACCTGTATTAGAATTGAAAAACCTGAAACAGATCTACTTCAGTGTTCATTCAGGGTTAAATTATGGTATCATGTTTTGGGGTAATTCACCACAGAGTAATTTATTTTTATAATCCAGAAACGAACTGTTATAATTATCATGAAAACCAAAGCATGGTATTCCTGTAGGGAAATGTTTAGTAAACTTGGAATTTTAACTATTTACTCCCAATATATCTTTTTAACTCTTATGTTTATTGTAAAGCATAAGGATTTTTTTTTCACAATAAATATGGCCTTGCATAAAATAAATACCCTCCAAAAATTGGACTTTCATGTTCCTTTATTAAGTCTAACTAAAGTCCAAAAGGGAGTATATTATTCTGGTATTACCCTATTTAACTCTTTACCCCCCAATATCAAGCAAGTTGCACATGATATTACTACATTTATACATAAAGTGAGAAAGTTTCTTATAGAAAAATGTTTTTATTCAGTTGAAGAGTATCTTGATAGGAATAATAAATTTGACCTTGGGGTATCCCAGTAACTATGAGGGTAAGTCAATAAGTAAGTTACAAAAGGATATAGAACTTAAAAAAAATAAGAGCACTGATTTGACAAATGCTTTTATTTCTCAACATAATCTCCCTGTACATGGAGGCACTTGTCTCATCATTTCACAAGTCCCTGAAAACCAGCAGCATAACATTCTTTGGGCTGCTGTTGGAATCAGGCATGTTCACACAGCATGGCATACTTCATAATGCATGACAGGTTAGGTTTTCACAAAGTCTGTGCACGATGGGTGCCATGCATTCTGACCCCACAACACAAAATGCAAAGAATGGGTCTGGCATTACAGCACCTCAATCGCTACCATGATGAATGACATGATACGCTAGCCCGAATTGTCACAGGTGATGAGTCTTGGATTCACCATTTCCAGCCCGAGACAAAGCATGCGTTAATGCAGTGGAAACATCCTGTGTCACCTTGAGGCTAGAATGCGGTGAGCAGTATGCCTTCATGATGCCAGAAGACTATGAGCATCACTTTCCTGGAGGATGGTGTCACCTTAAACTTATTTTTGCAAGCGACGCAGGATAGTTCCACTGCATTGATGCACGCTTTGTCTCGGGCGGTAAGGTGAACCCAAGACTCATCACCTGTGACAATTCAGGCTAGCATATCATGTCCTTCATCGTGGTAGCGATTGAGATGCTGTAATGCCAGACCAATTCTTTGCATTTTGTGTTGTGGGGTCAGCATGCGCGGCACCAATTGTGCACACGCCTGGTTCCGACAGCAGCCCAAAGAATTTTATGCTGCTGGTTTTCAGTGGCTTCTGAAACAATGGGACAAATGCCTCAATGTACAGGGAGATTATGTTGAGAAATAAAAGCATTTTTCAAATCAGTACTCTTATTTGTTTAAGTTCTATATCAATTTGTAACTTACTTATTGACTTACTTACATAGCTTTGTATTTTAGTTGCATGCATTAGTTTCTTATATATACTTTAATTTTTATTTATTTTATGTTAAGACATTCTTATGTAAATATCAATGTAATCTGCTGACAATTTCTATATCCAATGGTCATGTACCTGAATGGATCAATGAATGCTAGTAAATACAATACAGTACAATAAAATACTTCCAATTTTAGTGTTTCTTTCTGCTACCTGTTTACACCATAAGATGGGGAAAAGTAGGAAAAATCAAGAATTAATGTAATTATTTTGGCATTCAGGCAACAAACACTAACTTCATATTACTCTTCTGACTACTGAAGATATTAATTTCTTGGTTTAACAATAGCAGAAACTAAGTAAGAGACAAGACATATTTACAAAAGAGATATTTTCATGACAGTATTTTGCAGATGATTAGGGTCTAGTTTGTGAAAATAACAACACCCACAGATCAAAATATTACTTAAATAACATTATATAAAATTATAAAAGTAGACGGTAGATAGGTAAAGTCATCCCTGTACTTAACTAAGCACTAAGCACTAAGCCATGAAGGTGTATAGGAGAGCGATTCACCCATGATATATGTATACAGTGTCCGTCTTGTAGTGCACTCAATTTCACCTGTTACTTCACGACATGTTTCGGCAACATAGTGCCATCATCAGGTGCCCTAATTACGCTAATCTATTGCATTGCTTGCCCTTATGTCTTTATAAAATTATTTAAAAAGCATTTAAAAAGTGCGTATTCGTCAACAATAATAAATTTACACACACTAAAACTTGTTAAGAGTATTCATCTTATGTGTCTTAATTAAAACTTGTGTGTGGTTCTTCCACTATAGGGGTCGTTTTTCTTATATTCTGTGTAAACCATGTCTGTGATGTGTGTTCCCTTTTTAGCTGCGAGTGTTGTAATGTAACTAGGGCACCTGATGATCACACTATGTTGCCGAAACATGTCGTGAAGTAACAGGTGAAATTGGGTGCACTACAAAATGGACACTGTATACACATCATGGATGAAAATCGGTGCAACAGGACGCTAAAATACAACATTGGGAGAGTGATTGTATAGACCCACGTTCTCTTGACCTTGGCACTAGTTTGAAGTGAGTGGTCAGCTTCACACACCATCCACTTTACCTCCAGGAAAAGAGCCATTGGTTCCCATTGCAAAAGAGGTTGGGTGGACCCCAGAGCAGGTACGAATAATATGAAGAAGTGAAAATTCTTGACCCCACCGAGACTCAGACTCTGACCCCTCGGTTGTCCAGCCAGTAGCTAGTCGCTACACCAACTGAGCTATCCTGGCTCATACACATCAAATTATTCTGAAGAAAGTTACCTAACATAATGAAAATTCTGACAAAGAATCAAACACGGTATTCAAGAATGTGAATAAATTAAATTAGCTTAAATGGGAATTGTTTATCTCACAGATGCAGAATGCAGGTTAACTGCATTAACAATGGTTATGTCAAGGAAGAGTTTTGAAATATTCTCCGAAGTCTTTATGAAATCGTCATAGTAACAACATACTTTTGTGGATATTAATATAATTCCATGCAGAAATAACAGGTTTGGAGACATGATTCCTGAGATAATTAGCGTGCTGTACCCCACTGGGCTAGTGTATAACTAAGGGTAATGAACAGAAACCATGGGCATTCAATTTACATGGTGACTACAGTAGACAATGATTTGTATATCTGGAGAAGGTGATAGATTTTAGAGAATCACTAGACCTTGATGTCTCACAACCTCCATTGGCCTCCATGGCCTCCATGGCCTGTTATGGGGACAACTTTACCTTTTTGCTCATCAGAATATTAAGATATGAACAGGAAAGAATCATATTGGAAACTAGAACATCAGGCAAGATCTGAAGCATCTGACATATTCTATGTCCAATGGTGTGTGAACTTGTTTCTCACCATGTAACTGGATCTACTTGAATACATTAAATATGAATGAATGAATCAGTACAAGAACAATTACTTACATTAGGACACAGTCAAGTAGATATGCAGTACATATAGACAATTCCCATGAGAGAATGAAGAATTAACACATTGCGGACCAGAGGGGCCATATGGCCCTCTACGGTCACGTTATGTTGCAAAACGCTATGTATATTGGTGTGTGGCTTCGTTTAATCGTAACTATTGCGTAGATGACCTCGGGAATGATTGCTGCCTTATCTAGTAACTCGATCAGAGTCATTTCCTGTCACAACCTAAACAAAATTGGCTTTGTTCTAATCCAAGCTTGCACGTATGAACCACGCAGCTACCAGTTCAACATGGCTCAGAGACGAAAGCAGTTGCGATCTCTCGGAGGACAGGAAATATTAGATATGTTCTCTGATGAGCTATCAGGTTTGCCAACTGCTTCGTCTTCTGATAGCGAGGCCATTATCAGTGACAGTGACAGTGACGGGGGCCACAGGGCTGCCCAAAATGTGTCAAGTGAAAGTGAGAGCTCCGTTGAAAGTGCGAGTGTCGGGACAGCTACATGGGATAAAGTGGACAAAACCCCCAATTGGGAAAGTTTACTGGTGATCCAGGGGTGAAGCAGATGCCATCGGACCCAACGAACGTGTCTGAAGTTGCATCACTGTTTTTTGGAGATAGTGTCTTTGACCTGTTGTGTCAGGAAACTAACAGATACTATCTCCAACACCGTGAGGCGTACGACAGAACCAATAAGGTTTTGAAGTGGGTGGATGTCACTTCAACAGAAATGAAAAAAATTTTTGACTATAATCATTCTAATGGGGCTTATGAAGAGAGAAAGTTTGAAGGATTATTGGTCAAGTGACCCATTTTTAGAAATTGCAATTTTCGGCAAACTCTTGAGTCGTAAGAGATTTGAACAGATATGGTGGTGTTTGCATTTCAACAATAATGAAGTGCAACCACAACCAATGGGCAGGCTTTTCAA